ATTGAGCTTCTACAATAATAAGCTGCTAACTTATATTTGTTTAGACTTTATAACAAATTTATTTGATTATCCTGTAAACAATGCTCATTCAAACACACTACATCAACATTTGAATCATCCAAAAATAAGTGTATATCATGCAGTTTTTTCACCAGACCACCCTGAATATTCAAGTGCATGATAAATGCGTTTTTCTCATTTGCACAAAAGGTTTGACCATATTCCCACTTAACACATTTTTTATACAGATCAAAATGACACTCTTTGCAATTTACACAGTAGTTATCTTGGTCTAAAAGGCTTACATTAGAGGATTTAGAGGATTTATCAGCATTTAAAAAAGATTAATTTTTATCAACATTTAAAGGAATTATTTCTCTGGGGTAAGATAAATTTTCTTCAATTTCTCTTTGTTTAGTAGTTAATGTATGGATTGAATTGGATTCTTTTGGAAACTCTGGATAAGTTTTAACACATGATATACTCTTATACTTAAAGCTAACCCCCTTCAAATTTGATGACAAATTGGTATTCATAAAAAACTACTATTATTTAAAGACATTTGACATGGTGGAACTTGAATATTTACACTATTTACACTCTCTAATGCGCCACTGCTCTGCTTTTTAACACTTCCCGGAAGCTTGACCACTTCACTAAACTGAAGATCACCAGGAGTGACTTTTGGACTGGCAGGGTGGAGTGGCAGTGGAGTTTGGGCTGTTGTGAGTCGGCTTAGGTGAAGTTCTTTGGTCTAGTGTAGATCTATTGGAAACGGATGCAGATGATTCCAAGTGAAGCTCGCTGATAGGGGAAGACTGTTGGGTGTGATAGACATCAATAATTTGTTGTAGACGTTTCAGAAAATAGTTATAGGGTACACCGTTGTATAAAAGCCTATTTGAGTTTTGATAATAGCAGATAATATTTACAATTGCTCCAGTATTTTTTTGAAATCTTATTAAGTTTTGTATAAAGTGATCTGGCCATATTTGATCTCTAACGCAACCCATTGCTGAACATATAAGTATCTTAAGCTGTCTTTTTTTAAATTCATTTGTCAGTTGTTCAAAAGCACAGTCGTAGTCAAATTTTGTAGGTTTCAAAAAATATTTAGTTTTTGTAATGAGACTAAATATGCTTGCTCCTTTATTCACCTTTTGATATGCCAAGTGACTGCTAAGGCAATTTGAAAGGAGGGGCTTGCCAAATTGATTCCGGAAGGTAACCGCAACCCCAGCACTCATACTCCTCTCACTATCCAGGTCAGCTGATATTGTATGCGCAAAACCCACAGTCTCGTTGTTCTGAAATCCATCTATAATGTCCTTCATGTTTGCTTGGATGATATTAATACCAACTGAATTTCTTATCTGTCTGGGAGAGTTACTATTTAAGGATTTACTATTTACAGATTTACTATTTACAGAATTACTATTTACAGGCCTATCACCTCCAATAACATGTGTGACGTTGTTTATCTTAATTTTATTTATGAGTGATGCTATCATGTAGGATAGCTTTTTCTTTCCACGATGATTCAGATGCAACCCATGATTGGTAAAATGAAACCTTTCCAGCTCGTCAAGATCAATAACTTTTACGCAAGGAGTTCTTACCGTAATTTCTTTGATATAGTTATTGATCATGGTTATATGATCATGGGCTGAGTCCTTTGGATTTAGATCATAGCGGTGAGGAATAGTAGTGACTATTATTGTTTTACTGTTGTCTCCAGCAATCAAGTTTTCCAGATACTTTTCTAAGTTTTCATAGATATTATTGGTTGTCTTTTTAATTACGTCATTTGAGCCCGATATTAAAAGCAGCATCTATATATCAACTTTATAACTAATATCAACTTTACCTAAAACAGCATATTCTATCGACGCATTTATGTGTTTTTCACTTTTTTTCTGTTTTTTTACTTTATCCAGTAGATGTTTAAGGCGGTTTCACACTGGCGTCCGCGGACGATAATTTTGTCCGCGGACGGATATAATGATTCGGATGGATGCCCTTCACATTGCGAGCTGCGTTTCACACGTCCACTCATTCGCAAATGCAAATACTGTAGGGAAGTTGGCCATTCCTCCTACAACTCCAATATTTTGGACTCCTCCTCCTTTGGTGGAGGTGTACAAAATGTCTGTGCATATTGCCACATGGTATCAGTCCGGATTTTCTGTTCCATGGCTTGATTCAAGTACAGTAGTGATGATAGTGACGACGAGGCTGTACTTTTGTACTCATTACCAACAATGAGAAAGTGGGTTTATCCGATTAACAGCAAGCGGTAGCGATTTTGTGAATTCCATCACCTAATGAACGATCTGGAGCAAGATGAAGACAGATTCTCAACATACTTTAGATTAACAGCCAATCAGTTTGAAGAGGTGTTGAAAATGATTGATGGTGAAATAAAGAAAACCGAGACGAACTGTAGAATTCCAATGAGCGGTTTTTTTATTGATGATTTTTTATCTATTATTTGGGATTATTAAATAAATGTACTGAGCAATGGTAATATGGAAATGAGATCTCACATTTTCTCATTTGCTTAAAGGTGGGCGCGATTTTTCGTATATATAATACTATACATCAATACTAATAGTTTTAGCTGTGGAATCAATTAATTGATAGGTCGTTGAAAATCATACAACGATATTTTGAAACAACATAATTGTTGGAAAAACCATGAGAGTAAAACTTATTACAAAAAATTGTTTGATAATGAAATAGATATTATTTAAGTAAAAAAAATATACCCTTTAACAAAGATTATAATTACTGAAAAATATGAAAAGTAGGCAACAAGTAGTAGTAGCACAGTACAATAGTTTTAAGTTAAGTAAAGTTAAATATATGAATACAACTGAGTATATATATGAATGTATACAATTAACACTGAGGTGAGGGACAGATGCCGCGCTGCGCTAAACGTGAATTGGTGCTCAGTGCGCATGCGCGAGAGCGTGGACATCCGCGGACGTTTTAGAAAAATCGCCCCCGGAGCGATTCCGCCAGTTCGTCCACGGATGAATTTGTGCGCCCGCGGATGGACGCTACGTATCAATGCGCGGTGTGAACGGTCCCATCTGATAACATGGGCAACGATTTATTTTAGCATCCGTCCGCGGACGATTTCTTCGTCCGCGGACGCCAGTGTGAAACCGCCTTTAAGGTCTGAAATGCCGTCTACAGTCCATACACGATCTTGAACCCCCATGACCAAACAAGTGTAGAAGAAAAATGAATTTTTAATTGAACAACCACATAACCAATCTGCATGATTGTACATATGTGGCGAAAATTTTCGTGTGAAGCTATTCTTATTCTTTGAACTGTTTTGAATCTGGTTGATGTTCATGAAAGGTCTAGGAGGTCCTAATTTTTTCAAAGAAATTCTGTGGTCAATATTTTTGATTCCTTCATTGACAATCAGGCTAACTTTGTTAGTGACATTAGCCGTCGACGACAACGAAATGCCGCCGTCCATTATTATTTAGGCCTACAACCCACGGCAAATTTACCCGTAATATTAAGACTAAGAATAAGTCACTATAACTAGAATTGTCCGAGTCACTTTACCTATGGTTAGTTTACTTAGTTTTCGGGTTAATTAGGTTAGCCTAGGCTAAAACTACAGACGTAACTTAAGTTATTGAATCAAAAATGCCAACTAACTAAGTTAACTCAATCAAGTATACCTTATTAAATAACTTATTAAATATAACTATTAATATTTTCTACTTAGCTCTTTCAATCTTCAACAAACTACCGCTGCCTTCCTTAGGCCTCCATCACTATCACTAAACACTATTTATCACAAAACAACAGGTCGTTTGGCACTACACTTTAACTGAACTGTGGTCATGGACATGGAATGAAGTGAGGTTAGTTTATGTTTATGGTTGTGTGGATGATGGCTCCAGCGCTGCCAACATAGTTCTTCCTATCCTAATCGTGTGTGATGCAGAATTATCCAGTTTAGGGTGGCTGCCCTGATTTATGAATGAGCGCGCAGCTTTGGACTCTGCCCCAGAGTCCCTATTATAAAGCATTGGAATGACGTCACGGCACCCTCAAGGCTGTTAGGTGTTTCCACCATAAGACTACATGCATTGAGTTTGGGACGGAGGTGGCCGCCGTCCGCAATCCACATTATGAAAGCGACTATCGCAAAACAGTCATTACTGGATTCAAAATTTAAAACTATTTCATTTCATATTATTATCATACTGATTAAAGTACTCATAAGTAATTGTAATTTAATTTTACTTACGGCAGATGATTTTTTTATTACATAAATAAAAAAATATTGATTTCTGTATTGTTGGGAGGGCGGCGTCCGAGAGTCCTTATGGGCTAGCCGCTACTGCCTAAAGTCACACCCAAATAAAAAGTGTGAAAACACCGTTTTCAATGTATGTCTTATGGAAAACATGTTTTTTTAATTTTTCACCATAAATTATAATAAAACCCAACTTTCATAATTATTTGCCAATCTACACGAATTAAGCTTTCCAACGACCCATTAATCAATAAAATCGGTCCAGTAGAACTCTAGATTTAGTTTTACAAAGATTTTTAAAACTGAATTATATATAAGTAGATGTTGTTAGGAGTTAAGGGAGCGAGGGGAGGGGGGGGGAGAGGCAGAGAGAGAGAAACATCTGTAGGCCTACCTATCCTGATGGGAACACTGACTCATAACTTCCAGGCATATTCTCTATAGTCCATACACATGAGTTCAGATCTTCTTAACTTCGGTAAGAAATCTTGTCATTGATATCCTGTCAACAACCATATTGTTTAAAAGTCCCAGGGCACTATAAGGAACCGATTATCTCCCGCTCCTCCCCATAGAACTGGAACCTGGTGCAGCTCATAGGCCTCTTGACAAATTCTGATATTTTCATGGCCTTACGACAATCTCTGAGCCCTCTCTTCCCCACAAGCATTTTTAATTTGAATAAGTTTTTTAACATATTTTTTAGGACATTTTCTTGCCTCACATTGAGAATGGCTGCATCGTCCTGATAGGAGCCACAACAGAAAATCCGTCCTTCAGCCTCAACTCTGCTTTGCTGAGCCGCTGTCGAGTGTTTGTGCTGGAGAAGCTTGCCTCGGATGACATCATCAATATCCTTACTTCTGCTGCCCAGAGGATGAACATCTGCATCTCCTCAGAGGCTAAAGACTGCAACAACTCCCAATTGTATGTTTGACTCAGTAACTGAAGCCATTTGTTGGTCTATTCTTGTACTTAAAAACTCAGATTAACTTATTTTATTGGTTTTTGAGATACAGTATAACAAATACTTTTATGAGATATTAAAACAATAACAACATCACGACCTTGAAATGCTTGTAAAAGAAAGTAAGACTACAGAAGGCACATTGATCTCCAACAAACAATTAAAAAAGAGGAAGCGAGAGTCCGTGGGTTTATCTGGTGAATGATCAGAAGTTTCACTCGTGAGAAGGTCTGGATCTTTGTGAGTGAAGTACCTTTGTCACATTTTCATCTGTAGTGTTTATACTAATCAGACTGATTTCGTGGACGAAGGCTTCCACTTCTTCGATCAATTCGCCATCTTCATTAGCCGGAATAGGACTTCTTGATAGTAGATCTGCTATGGCAAGGTCTTTTCCTGGGGTCCAGGTCATGCGATAATCGTATCTCATCATACGCATTCGGAATCGCTGTAGCCTCGGTGAGAGCTCGTCCAAATTTTGTGTTTTGAAAATTGAGACAAGCGGTTTGTGGTCGGTCTCAATTGTGTACATTTTACCCATTAGGAAACATTTCAAACGGTCACTTGCCCATGAGCACGTAAGCGCTTCTCTCTCAATGTTACTGTAGTTTTCTTCAGCTGGCGTTAGAGTCCAAGATATATATGCCACAGGTTTCTTGTTTTCTCCTTCAACTTGAAGTACAACCGCTCCAAGACCTTTTTTTGAAGCATCACAAGAAAGAATCGAGGGTTTTTACGGAATCGTAAACAGTCAAACATGGCTCTGATGATAAAATCTGTTTTACTGTGACAAAAGCTTTTTCTTGAGCTGGTCCCCAAAAGAAATCGTTTTTTGTCTTTAACAAGCTCGTAATTGGCTCCAAAATCTCACTGCAGTTTGGAATAAATTTTGCCAGAAAAGTGATCATGCCCATGAATCTTTGTACTTTATTAGCGTTTCTTGGAGCTGGTAAGTCCACAATCGCTTGTACATTGCTTGGATCAGGCTTGATTCCGTCCTTAGACAGCACAAACCCCAAAAATGTCACAGTCTTCTTGCAGAACTCCGACTTCTGCTTATTCAAGGTGATTCCATTAGCTTGCACTCTCTCTAGAACAGCCCTAAGACACTCGCCGTGTTCTTCTTTCGTTCTTCCCCATATCAGACAGTCGTCAATGTGCACTAAACAGTTCTTTGCCCCTTCTAAAGCTTTTGACATGCGGCGCTGAAACTCTTCAGGAGCGGACGTAATTCCAAAAGGTAACTTACGGAATTTATACCTTCCGAAAGGGGTGATAAATGTCGTGTAATCTTGTGACTCCTCTGCAAGGTTCAGTTGCCAGAACCCGGAATTCGCATTGATCTTGCTGAAGTACTTGGCTCCCGCAATCTCGGCCAATGAAAGTTCAATCTTTGGAATAGGATAAAACCGACGTTTCACACTGTTGTTGAGTTTGGATAGGTCTACGCAGATCCTAACCCCACCTCCCTTTTTTGTGCAAACTACCATTGGTGCGCACCAATCAGTCGCGTGTTCAACTGGAACAATCACTCCTTTCTCAAGCATATCGTCTAACTGCTCTTTTACCTTGGTTTTTAAAGGTATTGGTACAACCCTGGGGGTGGATATAGCGTAAGGAACTGCATTCTCCTTCATTTCAATCTTGTACTCTCCTTTCATATTTCTCAACCCTTGAAATAAATTAGGACACTTAGTAGCCCAGTCAATTTCAGGTGAATCTACAGAAAAAATTCTCCTCACCAGGTTCAGTTCTTCACAGGAACGTTTGCTAAGAAGTGGAACAGTGATCTCCTCAGAAATATACGCAAGATCATAAACTGATACACCCTTATGTTCAAGCTTTAGCCTTAAAGTTCCCAAAATTCGTTCTTTCTTCTTTGCGCTAAACACAGGGGATTTGCACTTTCCTAGAGGCAGAGTCTTAATAAAATCACCGACAACTCCTACTGGAATCATGGTTACATCAGCTGCTGTGTCAAGTTAAATTTTATAAGACCTAAATCTTGGTTTCCAAAGCTTACTTTTACCTCCTGGACCCAGGCTTTGTCACTGTTGTCTATATTCCCTATGAAAATCTCAGGAACCTGTTGATAACCACTGTCTGAATCTTGCTGTTCGATTTCCTTAACAACGATTTTGTTTTTTCTCATCCACTTTTTGCGGGAGGGACAGCATCGAAAAAAATGCCCAACCTTGGAACATTTGTCTTATTTGGCTTTCCTAGCAGGGCATTCAGCCAGTGATCCGTGCCAGTTATAACCACATTTCCTGCACTTTTTTCTCATAGCATCCTCGGTGAATTTCTGTTCACCAGCTCCTTCAGACAGATTGGTTTTACCGACTTGTACTGACGTTTTATTCACCATAAAAACATTAGTATTGGCGAGTTCACGTTTTTGGCGTTCTAGCTCCTCGTGTTGGCGCAAGGTATTAATTGCTTTCTCCAAAGTCAATTGAGAGTCCAGCTGGAGTCTATCACTTAAAGCCTCATCTTTCATACCAATAATGAGGACCAGAAGCACCATCTCATCGTTCAGTTCACCCCATGCACACGTTTTTGCAAGACAATGCAAATCTGTTATGAATTTTTCAGATGGATCACTCCCTTGCTTGTGTCTCAGAAATTTTGTTCTCTCATAAATTATATTTCGTCTTGGCACAAAGTATTCATCAAAGGCCCGAAGAGCCTCGTCATAAGTATTCGGTTTTGGTGAAAACGAATCGAAAATATCTTCACTCCTACTACCCATTGTAAACAAAAGTACATCGATTTGCCGAGCGTCGGAAGTGACATCCAGACCGCACCCCCGTCTGTACCTTTGAAAGCGATTCCTCCAGGAATGCCACTCATTCGGAGTAAAAGAGAAGGTTTCTGGAGTTGGTAACGTCAGATTTATCATCGGAGTAGGAGTACACATTACTGCATTATTTTCTCGGTTTGTCTGTCCCAATGCAAAACCTAGTGACTCACCTTCAATCTTTCTAGAATCCCTTTCTGACATGTAGTTGAATTCACTTTGGGCATAGTTCTCCTCAATGTCCTCATACCTTTGCTTACGAGTATTTCGTTTTTTTCTGCCCTTAATTGACATTTTGCGTGGTTTTAGACTTTGTTCGATAAAAAAATCCACTAAGCTGCCACCACGTTCTATTTCTTATACAAGAATATTATTCACACAAACTGCTTCATATTGCTTCAACAAACTCTATTTCCAAACTAAACCAATGTTTACAAAAACATGTTTACAAAAATCATCTGACAACAAAACATATTTAAACACAAATAAATCATATGATAAAAAGAACAGACTTAATACAACAATATATATATATATATATATATAACAAACTACAAAATTCCCGACTAGAGGTCCCTATTCACTTTCCACATCACATATATAAATTTGAACGGACAGTGTTTTTAACTTCTAGAGACCTCAAAACAAAAAAGTAAATCGGTCCCAAGGTTTTTAAAAGAAAAAGAGGTTGCCTCAGTCGCGCGTATGACGTCACCCGCTGACCCGGACGGTGCTGCTTTTAATTCACAAAGCTGCCACCTGTCAAATTCTTTGTTATTGTTGTTTGTTTTTGTGTAAGTTCCGTAAACGATTAAGTAAAAGCATGTAAAAGTAAGCTAGCGGGCGGGAGTGTGACGTTATCTGCTGATCTGATCGCCGCATTCTCCTTCACTCTATTACTACTCCGCATATTATTTTTGCATTTGGATGAGAAACAGCTCTCTTTTTAATGTAGCCTATAACTACTTTTCGACTGGTTTTCAGAAAAAAACTTTACATTAACATTTTATTAAAAGCAAACATTTTATTAAAGCAATACAAAAATAATTATTTAAAATTGGAAATGCATAAATTATATCAACAAATACTACATATGGGTGTTACGTTCTTTAGTAGATTGCCAGAACGTTAAAAATTCAATTTTTTGTTTTAAAAGTTTAATCTCATCTCTGAGACGAGTTACTTCACTGGATAAGATGTCTTGATTCGTGATCATACTTATTAGCCTATACTGTCATTTTCAGTACAACTTTCATCTATGCTTGATATTTTGACTAGGGATTCTTCTTGTTAATCTTGATGTTGAAATTTTATACAAAGTTTAATTGATGGACATGCGCTGGGCTTAAGATTCCTCTTTGGTGTCAGATTTAAGAGTTCCGCTTTTAAATCTCGTTCGTAATCGTTGTCAGTAAAATGTTTAGAACAAACTACTGAAGTACGAGGATTTAATGGATCTACGCGTTTACAACAGTGGACCCATTGCTTGCATAGTTTTTCTTCCTTAGGAAAACGATGATAAACAATTTTAGGCCTATCATTATGTAAATCACGGGTTTTTACCCGACTATTGTTACATACCGCTACAGCACATCGCTCACCAGGCATTTCAAACAAACTAGTTTGATAAAGATAAAATGTAACAACCAAATTATATAAAACCCAAAAAAAATATAAAACCAGAATGAAAATATAAACTTAAACAATAAAAAATATAACGCAGAATAAATTAAACAAGAAAGAATAAGGTTACCTACTTAATCACACTAAACAAGCACAAAAACGTTTGAAGTGGACACTCAGAAATTACGTATTTGTCTAGTAAGAATGGTGGTTCTGTTTACAAATAAATAAATGAAAAACAAACAACAATAACAAAGAATTTGACAGGTGGCAGCTTTGTGAATTATAAGCAGAACGGTCCGGGTCGGCAGGTGACGTCATATGCGCGACTGAGGCAACCTCTTTTTCTTTTAATAACCTTGAATCGGTCCGGGGTCCAGGTCTTACCATGAGTACTACGGTAATAGGTTATTCCCTATGGGAAATTCGCTAAAAGAAAAGGTAACAAAAATCTGACATTATCAAGGAAATATTTTACTGTAAATAATTTAATTGATTCACTCAAACAGAAATTTGCTTAGTTTGCAGGATTGCTGGAGCAGTGTTATTTTTAATTGATGTTGTTTCTTTCAGGTGTATTGATCTCGAGTCACTTGAGTGGCTGGCTGGCATGTGTGATGGAGATGCGAGAATAGCTCTCAACAGTCTTCAGATGGCTGTCAAAACTGGCACTCAGACCAACGAGCCAACAAGAATCACCCTAGAAAACATTCAGGAAGGCATCAAGGTACATAATATACTTACGTTATGAGAATTTCGGGTAGAGAGACAAAATTAGGTTTTAATATCGGGGTTTAGTGGAACAATACGTAATAAGTCGTCTCACCTGAAATTAGGTCACACCTTAAAATTTGTCCAGATAGCCTAGCCTACAATGTGATAGTCCAGGATTCTAACATGTACATTAATTAATTGCCGTTTTGAGTTTATTGGCTCAGACTCGGAATATAATTACAACAATGCCAATAACTATATTATCTTACCTTTGACAAGTGATCATCACAGCCACTCGAAATTTGCGTTGAGATCGAATTAAGAATGAAAATACCGTGCGAATAAGAATATAACGGAATAATTTAACAAGGTTTAATAAAACATGAGTCGGTACTTGGTTTAAACCAAAGTAAAACGTGTCCTAATCAACCACCCCTCGGTCAACCACCAGAGTCGTTTGTAACTAATTCTAATCGGTCGATATAACATGTGTGTATAACACAAATCGAAATAATAAAACGGTTATAATGCTTGGTATGGTAACCACCAAAGCCTCGTGTAAGACAGAATCTACACTTACTCGTGCACGTAGAATCCTACCTTGAACATGCGTAATCGACGAAATATAACTTCAAATAATTATACTAAACGGTACTGGTAAATAAATAGAGCATTATCGTGTGGCTCCACAATTACCAGTGTTCGTATCGTCTCGCGTCATTTTAATATCGGCTATCGCCAGATATTGGTTTGTAGTGAGTCGTGTAGCGAACATTTTGTGGTTGAGTTGAAGGACGACTGCCAGTTATTGTTCCGTGGGGAGTGAACGTTTGGTCGACGGCTGAAGAACGACTGACTGCCTCGGGGCGCTTCTTGTGCAGTTCTCGCCTACCGCCCTTGGCGTCGGGGTTGAGAACTACGATCATCCCCTCCATATGAACTATGAACTAACTAATGGAACTGTGGGGCCAGCAGCCGCCTGATGTCCTGGTGCAACTGAGCTGAAGTGTGTTGTGTGTGTATTTGTGTGGTTCCAAGTCTCAGTTTGAGCGACATTTACGTGTGCGTAGTTTTGTTTCGCCCTTATTTCCTCTTGTGGTTCCTACAGTTTTAAGATTGTTATTTGTATTAGCTCAATGTGCAATCCTTCTCCTTTTTCCAAGTATGTAAATTTATAATTTTAGTTATTAATTAATTTTCCTATCAAATAAGATGTTTGACTGCTGGTGAAGCTCATTCCCCACACACAGGCAATGCCTATGTGGAGAATAATCCAATAATCCATCTGTTTGTTAAACTTTGTGTAACAATTATTATGTTTTGAAAATAATAATAAAAATACGTCACTATTAATATGTCCAGTGTTTGTTGCTGCCTTTTCGTTAAATAAATCAAGGTAGGCCTATTTGGGATGACCGCAAAATATTATCCCACGTCAAAATTTGACCTGTTACAATGTTCATTCTAAATTCACAAAAATTTTTGCTCTTTGTAAAGTAGGCCTATATAGGTTAATAAATTGATTACAAAACAATTGTTGCAGAGATCTCACTTGTTGTATGACAAAAAAGGAGAGGAACACTACAACATAATTTCAGCATTACATAAATCGATTCGAGCCTCAGATGAGAATGCATCCCTTTATTGGCTTGCTCGTATGTTGGAAGGAGGGGAAGACCCCATCTTCATAGCTCGGAGACTCGTAGTTTGTGCTAGTGAGGATATTGGTATGTAATGAAGTCTATGTAAATGATCTAATTTCATCTATTTAGTTTTTATCTTAGTATATTTTCTGTATAAACTAGCTCTAACGGCGAGTGGTGTAATCCGATTTCGTCAGTGACGATCTATCTGCAGTAGGCGCAAGGCTTAACGGCGGTTTAAGTGTTTAGTGAAATCGGGCCTTAGTCAGTGGCAGTAATAAGACAGTGCTGGCCAGCCTGTACAGTTTTAATCAGTTTTATTAATTTGTACAGAATTTTTGAAACATGACAAGTTTAAATTATTGTGATTGTGGCAATCTTTTGACATACCACAACATAATAATAAATTGATGATGTGGTTGCATTATAAATGACCTGAAATAGTTCTAAGGAACTAAACGAGTTGTCATACCCACAACTGTGGTAGGATAAGATAATAATTTTATTTGATCAATAACATCTATCTTCTATATATGTCTATAGATGTAGTGGACAACTGCTTGCTTAGCTATTTATGATCAGATCAGTCAAAATGTTGTGATGTAGTGGACAACTGCTTGCTTGGCTATTTATGATCAGATCAGTCAAAATGTGGTGATGTTGTGGACAACTGCTTGCTTAGCTATTTATGATCAGATCAGTCAAAATGTGGTGATGTAGTGGACAACTGCTTGCTTGGCTATTATGATCAGATCAGTCAAAATGTGGTGATGGTTGTGGACAACTGCTTGCTTAGCTATTTATGATCAGATCAGTCAAAATGTGGTGATGTAGTGGACAACTGCTTGCTTAGCTATTTATGATCAGATCAGTCACAATGTGGTGATGTAGTGGACAACTGCTTGCTTGGCTATTTATGATCAGATCAGTCAAAATGTGGTGATGTAGTGGACAACTGCTTGCTTAGCTATTTATGATCAGATCAGTCAAAATGTGGTGATGTAGTGGACAACTGCTTGCTTGGCTATTTATGATCAGATCAGTCAAAATGTGGTGATGTAGTGGACAACTGCTTGCTTAGCTATTTATGATCGGATCAGTCAAAATGTGGTGATGTAGTGGACAACTGCTTGCTTAGCTATTTATTATCAGATCAGTCAAAATGTTGTGATGTAGTGGACAACTGCTTGCTTAGCTATTTATGATCAGATCAGTCAAAATGTGGTGATGTAGTGGACAACTGCTTGCTTAGCTATTTATTATCAGATCAGTCAAAATGTGGTGATGTAGTGGACAACTGCTTGCTTGGCTATTTATGATCAGATCAGTCAAATTGTGGTGATGTAGTGGACAACTGCTTGCTTAGCTATTTATGATCAGATCAATCAAAATGTGGTGATGTAGTGGACAACTGCTTGCTTAGCTATTTATTATCAGATCAGTCAAAATGTTGTGATGTAGTGGACAACTGCTTGCTTAGCTATTTATGATCAGATCAGTCAAAATGTGGTGATGTAGTGGACAACTGCTTGCTTAGCTATTTATAATCAGATCAGTCAAAATGTGGTGATGTAGTGGACAACTGCTTGCTTAGCTATTTATGATCAGATCAGTCAAAATGTGGTGATGTAGTGGACAACTGCTTGCTTAGCTATTTGTGATCAGATCAATCAAAATGTGGTGATGTAGTGGACAACTGCTTGCTTAGCTATTTATTATCAGATCAGTCAAAATGTTGTGATGTAGTGGACAACTGCTTGCTTAGCTATTTATGACCAGATCAGTCAAAATGTGGTGATGTTGTGGACAACTGCTTGCTTAGCTATTTATGATCAGATCAGTCAAAATGTGGTGATGTGGTGGACAACTGCTTGCTTAGCTATTTATGATCAGATCAGTCAAAATGTGGTGATGTAGTGGACAACTGCTTGCTTAGCTATTTATGATCAGATCATTCAAAATGTGGTGATATAGTGGACAACTGCTTGCTTAGCTATTTATAATCAGATCAGTCAAAATGTGGTGATGTAGTGGACAACTGCTTGCTTAGCTATTTATGATCAGATCAGTCAAAATGTTGTGATGTAGTGGACAACTGCTTGCTTGGCTATTTATGATCAGATCAGTCAAAATGTGGTGATGTTGTGGACAACTGCTTGCTTAGCTATTTATGATCAGATCAGTCAAAATGTGGTGATGTAGTGGACAACTGCTTGCTTAGCTATTTATAATCAGATCAGTCAAAATGTGGTGATGTAGTGGACAACTGCTTGCTTAGCTATTTATGATCAGATCAGTCAAAATGTGGTGATGTAGTGGACAACTGCTTGCTTAGCTATTTGTGATCAGATCAATCAAAATGTGGTGATGTAGTGGACAACTGCTTGCTTAGCTATTTATTATCAGATCAGTCAAAATGTTGTGATGTAGTGGACAACTGCTTGCTTATCTATTTATGACCAGATCAGTCAAAATGTGGTGATGTTGTGGACAACTGCTTGCTTAGCTATTTATGATCAGATCAGTCAAAATGTGGTGATGTGGTGGACAACTGCTTGCTTAGCTATTTATGATCAGATCAGTCAAAATGTGGTGATGTAGTGGACAACTGCTTGCTTAGCTATTTATGATCAGATCAGTCAAAATGTGGTGATATAGTGGACAACTGCTTGCTTAGCTATTTATAATCAGATCAGTCAAAATGTGGTGATGTAGTGGACAACTGCTTGCTTAGCTATTTATGATCAGATCAGTCAAAATGTTGTGATGTAGTGGACAACTGCTTGCTTGGCTATTTATGATCAGATCAGTCAAAATGTGGTGATGTAGTGGACAACTGCTTGCTTAGCTATTTGTGATCAGATCAATCAAAATGTGGTGATGTAGTAGACAACTGCTTGCTTAGCTATTTTTTGATCAAATCAGTCAAAATGTGGTGATGTGGTGGACAACTGCTTGCTTGGCTATTATGATCAGATCAGTCAAAATGTGGTGATGTTGTGGACAACTGCTTGCTTAGCTATTTATGATCAGATCAGTCAAAATGTGGTGATGTAGTGGACAACTGCTTGCTTGGCTATTATGATCAGGTCAGTCAAAATGTGGTGATGTAGTGGTGTAAACTATTTAAAGATAAAATACCTCCTCCTCGTCGCCATTGTAAACTATTCAAAGATAAAATAAAACCAACATTACATAAACCCTGTTTTAATACCAATTCCAAAAACTCATAACAAAAACAAACAAATAAGTCACCTGATACATATTAAAATTAATATGGTCTATTTAAAGACAGTACAAGTGGACAACTGATTGTTTAGCTATTTTTGATCAGATCAGTCAAAATTTCTTTTTCTTTCTACTTTATATGGTTTGTGCCAAAAAAGAATAAGCAAAGCAATATTTACTGTTCGCATTATGATTTTATCAAGAGCATTAGTACAGGGCCGATTTACCGAATAGGCACGGTAGGCACATGCTTAGGGCACGAGGCAATTGGCTTTTTCACTGAAAAATTGCAAAATAAAAAAATGTGGTTGTATTTTCATGAAATCCAACCACCATTTTTAAACTTCTTATTTTTAAGCTTTTTTTATTCTTATTTTTAAGCTTTTTAAGCCTCTTGGCCGTATAGACATCGTAATCGTCCCCCGCGATTGCGGCAAAATTCTGACTTTTCCGCGGTCGTGTAGACATAATTATCCTCTTCCATGATCGCGGCAATATATGAACATATCCCGTGGTCGTGAGGAGATTGTCATCGTTGGGCGTCTACCGCGAATGAAGCTAAATTCTTATCTTTTCCCACGATCGTGTGTACATTATCACTGTCTTGCACGATTGCGATAAAATTCTGCATTTTCGACCTTATGTTACAGTTTAACATTTAAATGATATTTAATCATATGTTTTTTCCTAGAAACTTTCTCACTGTTATCAACTTTATCGTCCAAGAGGAGGTATAATGTATTTATTGATATTCTTGATAATGATTTTTAACTTTATGAATACAAGTTGCTCTGGCCGGCTTTGCTACGCACGGGGTGAGAATACAGAAGAGAATAATGCGATTTTTTAAAATCTACTATACTATAACGAAACAGTTACATTAGCAAGCAATCATAGAGGAATGCTCAATATTACTTATTTAAACCATCTATTATGTTTATCTATACCGGTAAGCTGTTTGGCAAAATCAAAACTAATTAATTTTTCATAATGTAAACGTAGACAATCTATAAGAATCAAAAGGTTAACCAAGGGGAAAAGTAAACAACCAAATATAAATAAAATATGACAGCTGACTTGTATTCAATATTTAAAATGTGATCAAAACAACCCTTTAATATTAAGGTGTGTGCCCTTAGGAGAGGGTTTATCGAAAAACTGATATGTTTTGGGGAAGTTTCTCATTAAGACCTTTCATTCAAGTATACAGTTGATAGGTGTGCGACTTAAGGTTTTCTCAAAAGTTTGTGATTTATTTTTATTTTATTTTATTTTATTTTGCATGCTACAAAACAGAATACAAATCCCATTTACATTGCAGCACTATCCTAGTTTGTACAAAAATTGAGAACATGCTATGAGTTCATAAAATTGAATAAAGTGAATCGTTCATAGACTAAGAATAATAAATATTAATTATTAAATAACAACAACAATAAATCATAGTAGCAATAAATAACAATAAATAAGAGTGATTAAGAATCCTTGTTCCTTAGTGATCCTTGTTAGCTTTTATAATTTGTTGTAATGAAGTTATCAGTTAACATTATGTTTGCAGGTATGGAGGATCCTCATGCTCTCACCATGGCCATGTCTGCCATGCAGGCCTGTCAGCTGATAGGCTTGCCTGAATGTGGACTTTTCTTGGCCCACATATCAACATATCTTGCCAGGTCAGTTGTTATATGGGGTTTTAGGCTACACAACACTGTACTAACACATTGGTGTGAGCTGTGTTGGGAAGTAGCGTGCTACTTTTTTTGTAGCGTTAGCTGAAGCTACGCTACTTTTAAGATTTTGTAGCTTTAGCTTTTTTAAAGTAGTTGTAGCGGAATTTTAGCTACTTTTCTCGTTACATTAACATTGTTTGAGATAGTGATTTTTATCATAACCTCAACCTTACGTGAAACAACCTCTTTCAAACTGAGATTTTCAAAAAAATTAGGCCTACTTTCTTGGCTTCAAACAGCTGGTTGCAGCCGTTTCATTCCCTATTACAACGTTTTGTGGACATGGAGGCCATTAAATGAGTGTTATACACATTTTTGGCTCTCATTTCCTTAATTTACTACTCTATGATTACTGTCAGATAAAATAAAATCGCTAGATGCAGACGACCAACAAGACGGTGACAAGAGAAGCTATTGAATGCTTGCAAGTGATTGACAGGGAAATTAGTAATAAATTTAGTTTCTTTATTATATCGATAGTGTTTCAACTTGGGTTTTAATGGAAACACCTTAAAATAATGAGAAAGCTGGTCTATCAACCTTTGCTTCAGCTGTTAATTGTGGTTCATCATCACAAGCCCTTCCTTGGTTAGATTACAAAGATTTTTCAAAGGTTTACTAAATTAACAAAGAGGAAATTACCTGATGAGATTTAAGATATGCCTAGACTACATGATAATTGTGACGAAAAAATCTCCATATAACATGAAACTTACATTGAAAAAACAGCTCTTGTATAGGACTACTAGCTGTACCCGCGGGCTTTGCCCCGCTTAACTTCATAAGTATTCGCATGGCTCAATCACGACCTGGTTGAAGTTCGTTCGCTACGCTCACTCACCTTCAGGTTGGAAATCGTTCGCTGCGCTCACTTGTTTTCAGGTTAGCTCGTTCGCTACGCTTACTCGCCTCCAGGTCGATGTTCGTTCGCTACGCTCACTCACCTTTTGGTTGCAAATTAGCTGTCGTCATAAATTTAAAAAAAAATCATCTCTTTTATTGTTTATAATACTTTGATAAAGGTTTTTATGTTTTAATATTTAACATTGGAGAATTTAAACGTTGAGTGCACAGGTGTGCTGCGATTGGGGTTTAATACTTTGGACTTATTAAAAAGTAAAATAGTTTTCTGTGCTGCAATCTGCAGAAACACTGTGGCACTATTTCAAATCATGACTAATGCTAATACAGAATGTTGTGATTATTCAAACCTACAAAACAGTTGGTGAAAGTAAACATCTGCTTTTAAATTATATTTATTTGTAAACATTGTAGATCAAAAAGTCTGACATTGGTCCACTTAAAACCCTCTGGGGCAGAGCCCTTTTGACGGATCTGCACCAAACTTCACTCGAACCATCCTTGAAAGATGCTTAATAATGCCTGAAAGTTTCATTACAATCTGTCGAGCGGTTTTGGAGTTCATAACGTATATACACACATATATATATACATACATAGTTCCTCTTTTATAGATATAGATTCCTAGGCTGTGCTATGGTTTAAGACGAATACCAAGTTCCAAGTTCAATTATTAGGAATATATCTGTTTAGTCCTTGCAAGAACTGTAAACTCACCTTACAATATTCATTTAGGCTAGGCCTATTCTATAAATGTTTAAAGTTAATAAGTTAACAAAGATATGGATTACAAAAGGTGTTTTATTTAAACAAATGAACAATTAACATGCAATGAGAAAAGGTTTGACGTTACAATGAAAGGGTTGACAATGGTGTATGGGGTTGAAATTAAATTGAAATAAAAGATAAATTTGAATAATAACTTGAAGGTTCAAATAATTTAGGTGTGATATGTCTCAGGGTAGGGTGTCGTGCTGGCTTGAATGCTAAGAATTTAAATTTAATAGTGTCCAAATAGGCCTAATTAAGGTGTTAAACTTACACAATCCCAACAATGAAAAATCTAATTTTAGTGTTGTCCAAAAGGTAAGTCCAATTAGCACAAAATTTAAAAGAGTTTAAAGAAAAGTTTATACTTAATTTTGAAGATGATGATTGAGTTGAGTCCTCTTGAGGTTTAGGCTACTATGTGATATAACTTGAAACTGGTCTTCTTGATAAATGAATTTGATTTAACTTAGGTAAAATTTTGACTCCTTCTTCTAACAATTTCAACTTCTCAATGGCTTCCTTCTCTTTCCATCTCAATGTTCACATCACTCATTGTTGAACACATGGGATCACTTTCACTGCTACTTAAATTTGGATTCCTTAAGGACTAATTTTGAAATGATATTATAAGAAATTTTGATGTATTGCAATTCTCTTACATATTTAATAAATAATTAGGTTGTGGGTGTTGTAAAAAAAATATAGGCTATGGAATGAATATTATTAATGATTAATTGAACATATTAATGAAATTATATAAATTAGGAAAATGAATATTAGGACAGTCTTTCTGAGGAGTGGTGTAGGAATAGAAGTTAACATAAAAAAAAACTTAATACTAAATAATGAATGAAATGAAATGAAATATTACAATTTATCTCCTCAGAAATTTGTATGATATGGAATGAAAGACAAATTTCGAACGAGTATGAAATGGAATTCATGAATCATTTAGTATGAATTATATTTAAAGCTAGTTATGGGTCACATTAAATGATTGATATTTTTGGATGATGATGATTAGAAACTTCTTAATATAAATTTACATAAACACAGGAACAAAACATAAATGGGGGAATTATTGAGGGTTAAGATAGTTCATGACCTGACACAGGGGAATAGTGGAAGCAATGTTAAGGATATGTTCTCACAATTTTCACTTGGGAAATGGGGAAAGGGTACACGCACTCGCGATTAAGGTTCATGACGATCTCCTCTAATATAATTTGTGACACTCGATGATCATGGATTGAATAGAGGATTTTATTTCCACAATATTTTGAGAGTTTATGCCGCTGAGATCTTCTTCACCATTTGCCATCTCCTCTTCTATAATTGGTTCTATGTATCGTTTTAAAGCAGATATGTGATATGGTCCGAGTAAAATATCTTCATTCTCTCTTGTTACATGATACGTGGATTTTCCTAATATTTGCTTGATAAAGAACGGTCCTTCATAAACTTCGAAAAGTTTTGCTGTTTCTCCATAGATGGCTCTGGAGAGGGGATGTGTTTTTATTAATACTTTGTCATTTATTTTTAATGTTTGAGGTTTTCGATTTTGATTTAATTTTGCTGATCTCTTGAGTCTTTTGGTAGGCCTATCCAACCTGCGCTTAGCAATCAGAAGTTTTTGTTCTATAGGGGTTTCGGTGTTGAATGGATTTTCAGATAAATATTTCTCCCAAAATCGGCGATCTCCAACACCAAATTGTAGTTCATTAGGTGTGAATCCGGTTGATTCATGGTAAAGCTCATTGAGACCTGCATTAATATCAGGGATATATTTTGCCCACTTCTTGTGTTGATTGGAGCAATATGTGCGCAAACATCGCTTTATTTCTTGAATCGGTCTTTCGGCAAGATTATAACATGGATGGTACACTGGATTAAAGATTAATTCAATATTATTTTGTTCCATCTTATGAATATATTCTCCGCTCTTAAATTGGGTTCCATTATCTGACTGGATTCTTTTTGGATATCCATAATTTGGGAAGTGCAATGTAAATAACTTGTTTAATATTGTCTTAGTATTATTTTTTGCATGGGATATAATTTTACAAATTTTGTGAATATATCGATGACTATAAGAATATATTTAACGTTTGACACACTGGTAGGAAGAGGTCCGATGAATATCAACGGCAAGTTGTTCATTCTTTCCTGTACATAGCACTCCTTTCGCTGTAGCCATCAATGGTTGGTTACTGATCTTACATTTCTGACAAATATCGCATGTAGATAGGTATTTCCTTATAGTTCGATTCATGTTACGAAATATGAAAGTTTCTTGCAATAACTGAAAGCATTTTTTGGCTCCGCAGTGTAGGTAAAACAGATGACATTCCCATATGAGATCTTTAATCATGCAATTAGGAACAACAATCAACCATTTGTCTCTTAACTTTTGATAAAGAGTATTTTTATAGATGTGGAAATTATTGGATAATTTTTGTGCAAAATCTGAATTTGGCTGTTCTTCAAGTATTTCAATTATAGGTTGTAGTTTAGCATCTTCTCTCTGCAGTTGTGGTAGATTTCGTAATGCACTCTTCAGTTGTTGATCGGGGATGTTTTCAATGTAGTGAATCGTTAATTCCTTTGGATTGTTATATGAGATAGTGGATTGGTCGATTGAAAGGCGACTTAGTGTGTCAGCAGTAATGTTATCTATACCTTTGCAATGAACAATTTTGAAGTTATATTCTTGTATAGTGAGTATCCATCTGGCTAATCGGTTATTTAATAGGCGGCAAGATTTTAAGAAAGTAAGTGCGTGGTTGTCTGTGATAATAGTTAATTTTGTTCCAAGGATGATATATCGAGACTTCTGTAGACAATAAATTATGGCAAGGAGTTCTTTTTCAGTCGTAGTGTACCTCTGTTCGAATGGTTGAAGTGTTCTTAATATAAACATGATGGCAGCTTTCTATCCATTTTCTCGTAACTGATATAAATGTCCACCTATTGCATAGTCGGAAGCATCAGTCTGTAAGAAGAACTCTTTAGATGGGTCAGGATGTGTTAAGGTATTAGTTTTTGTTTTTAGAAATAGTTCTTTAATCTTCATAAAGGTGACGTCATCTTCTTTGGTCCAAACAAATTTGTTTTTCTTTGAAGTTAGTCGCATCAAGGGTTGTGTGGTTGCGGAAAATTTATCTATGAACTTGGTGTAATAATTTATACTACCAAGGAAAGCTTTAAGTTGAGTTCTGTTTTTAGGGGTAGGGAAATTCAATATGGGTTCCACTTTGCTCTGATCCATTTGAAGTCCATCATTTGTTAACGTGTACCCTAGAAATGGTACA